GGTTAGGTCAGCTCCTATGTAAGTTTTGTAAGAATTTTTACGTAGGAGTAGCAAAACTCTTTTTATCTTCTTTTTTCATTAAAGATTCCGCTGCGAGGCGACTGGTAGTAGTTATCTCGCGTCAGCTGGCGACTAAGAAAAAAAAACATGCAGATTATTGTCAATCCAAGGGAAATAATGAATGCATATATGTGTGCTTACAGATTCTGTTCATCTTTTCCTTGAGTTCAGTGAGGTGCTCGCTCTTGGTCACACGGAACAAGTTGTCGGCGAACATGTCTTGGGGAAGCAAGAGGTTCGTCGGGTTCGCCGTGCCGATGGCGAGCATCGCCGCAGGGCCTTCACCATGCTCTCGAATGACCATCTTTCCTTTGGTTCTTGCAGCCATGGTCGATGGATGAGCACCGTATGTATGTTACCAACGTTCTTTGCTGGGTGCACTGGGGAATGGTCAACCTGCTGATGCGTCTAAGAGGCTCTGTTGGGTCATGCTTTTATAGTTATTTTGGTCTTAACTTTCAACAACCTATGTTTATTGTTTTTCTTTCATCAGAGCCCGAGGCTCTATGTTAAAATAGATTTAGCATTGTAAGAATATCTGTGAGAAAAATGAAAATTACATCCTGGTCCTTGGAAATTTCTAGGTTTCTATGACCCTGCATATGTGGTTCTTTTCTGGAGAGCCCGAGGCTCTATACTTAAATATACTAGCATTACAAGAAAAACTCCAGAAAAAATGATATTACATCTTGGACCTTGGAGTTTTCTCCATCTTATATGACTTGGGAGCCCATGGCCTAGCCTGCAGCGAGACGAGGAAGGCCTTTGTAGCTAGCGGTTAGCTTCCAAAAACTCGTTCAAGGAGAAACATGTATGCTAGCACTAACGAAAAGATTTAGTAAGTACAAAGCTGTACTAGCTTTTTTACCCACGTAAAGTTTGGCATTAATAATCCCTATATCTTGGGAAATTTGACAAGTGTATGTTTCCCTTCTCGTCAAAAACTGCTCGTCTACTCTTGTGATCTCGTCTTTCCCACTTAACCACGAGTCTCCCTCTCCTTCTCTCAAATCCACTCTTTCATTTTATTGCAAGCCCGCAATAGAAACCAAGAAAAGTTACTAGAATCATCCACAACACCAACTGTCATTTAACCGCTAGAAAAAAAAGTACGTTTGTATCACACAAAGAGAACGGTTCAGTTCAAATGCCTTAAGGGCACAACGGAACATATGCAACATGATTCAATCGGTGTCTCTCAGGGTTAGATTGCATCCGATGACATCACCACTGACGCCAAGCCAATAGCTTAATGATTGTTTCTACAATTCCATTTTTTAATTCAGACCACAAATTAGGCCAACAATACACTGATTTTAATGGTCTCGCCGTTGTTGACGTGACGCTAAAGTTCAATGTGGCATTTAATAAATTTGCATGCACAAAATTTTCTCAATCTAAATAAGGGTCTTTGGTTGCATCTTTCTGCGAGATAGTTTATGAAAAAAAATGGAACGTAGCATGGCAGACGCGGAGGGAGAGAGTATGTACCTAGATCCATGCCGTATGAATTAGTTTGGAGGAGAATGCGCAAAGACAATTCATCAACTAAGCACTTATTTTGACAGATAACTGAAGAAGGTGAATATGCAAATGTGAGCTGGGACAACAATTGCCATTTGAAAACCGGACACAGGAGTATGAGTGTATTGTTGGCTCTGTGAAATTAACGGTAGTTGCCATGCCTCCCATGTATCATTAAATGTAGTTGCCATGTGTAACTAATTGGAGTTGCCACGGTGGTCAAATCATAGTTGCCATATATAATCACCATAGTTGCCGTGTGTGATTAACTTGTTGTCATATATGCACACCTGTAGTTGCCGTGTGTGGTTAAGTCATAGTTGACATGTATGGTCAACAATAGTTGCCGTGTGTGATTAACTAGGTGCCACATATGCATACTTGTAGTTGCCATCTATCGCCGTGTGAGCGTCATGTGGGTGAAGAGCAGTTTCGCTCACACGTTCGGTTGAGCATCCTGTATCCATTCGGGCGAGGAGCGCCCACAAGTGTGACACTAAATGATACGGCCCACACGACGTTGGGTGCTTACAGGCTCTCGACCCAGATGGCGACTGCTTCAAAATTCGTGCAAATAAATCGAATGACATCGAGTGCATGTGAGCATGTTGATAAGTGACACATATGTGGGCGTTATCATTTAGGTTTATTTTTGACAAAAAAACCTCATATATATTAACCAAATCAGCAGTACAAACACCCCTCGATAATAAAGAAAATTTACATCGAGTTACCTGGAGGGTTGATCCTCATCTACCACCCGAATGGCCCGACGCCGCGCCCTTGCTGCTTCTCCATCACCAGAGCCAACTTATCATTATTCATTGTGGACTGAAAGAAATCAATGTTGTCTCGTCAGACAATTTGGAGAAGAAGATGTTAACGTTGCAAGAGCCGCAGATCCAAGAGCCAAACCTCCAAAACTGCTCATGGGCCTCACGCCAGCCCCGAAGGCCACACTAATGTGATGAAGATGCTGAAGTGCGAAATTGCAAAGGGAAGGTCGTCGTAGCCTTGCCGACAAACCTTGCATACCCTAGCCAAAGCAACCAGAGAGGTCTGTAGGAATCTATGCCATTGAGCCATCAACACTATTGAGATGGGATGCTTGACGGAACCATATTCATCAGGTCGACGTAATCATCATCACCACCACTAACACACCTCTGCGGGACCCTAACCCCAAACTATCTACGAGCCAAGGTTAATGCATTGATATTACCCACCCCTCACACCGCCGGTGAGGCTGGCGAAGGATGGTGGAACCTGCCAGCTCGATGTTGGTGGTGTATGGCGACACGTTGGATCTTCCTTGTCGCCTCATGGGGGATAAAGAGAAAAGTTTTGGAAACAGAAACTAACTACCAGATCTGCGGCAACAAATCACTATATAAACATAGAAAAGAAAGACAAGTTCACTGTTCCAACTTCTGGAAGTTTGGTGAAACAAAAGTGCACCGCACTAAAAGTATAAGAATTCGTGGTATTTATCTTATGTATGTCATTGTACTTATAATTCTTTACAATATATATATTTCTTACAAGATAAATAAGTAAAATCCGATAGTAAAATCCGATGGTGTTTCAATGTATGCAATTATTTGCTCTTAGCAGCAGGAAGTTAGCTAGGAAGTAACGTCAAGATTAGATAGTGATTGCAATAATGAAATTTTTCTATATGGAGTGTGTTATTGTACACTAATTAATTAGTGTGTGATTGCATGACGCTCCACAACTTGTCCTTACTAGTAGTCTATTGTCCGACATCTCAATCACCCTTTACATACGTCTTCCTCTTCTTGGACATCATTACTCAATTCATGGTTATAGGTCGCTTTAGACAAAAAGTGTGATGTTGCTTCTTTGAACAATGATAGTAAATGTGGGTACATGCATGTATATATCTTGAGGTATAATTGGCTGGGCAATCTTCTTTCCTTACTAGTCTTTAAATAAATAATAGAGAGGTAGGAGAAGTGGTCAGATCGAAGAATAATCAACCATATTTGAAGAAGTGGTCAGATCAAAGAATAATCAACCATATTTGAAGAAGTGGTCAGATCAAAGAATTATCAATGATGTTTCACAAATATCACATCCCACTAGTTGCGGTGCAACTATACCGAGCTATTGACGTATGATACCAACTTCCATGTCCATGACACCCCTACTCACGGTAAATCCTTAAGAATATGCTTAATTATTAATATTAATTATCAAAGAAAAGAGGGGCACGATGATGTATGGTTGAAGAATACGCTCAAATTTAAAAAAATTCACAAATACAGTTAAAGTTCCAAACCTCAATAATGAACGACACTTAAAAGTGAGGTAACTTTGGGAAGTCTAAAGTCAAGAGGAGTATGCCTATAATTTTACCAGTGCCATTAGTTCTATTCCTTTTAAGTATCTCGGAATACATATCTCTACTATTCAAAGGGAGATTTCTTGTTTCGCTTCCATGGCTTCCATCCCTCCTAGCGATTGATGCCCCTCCCATGGATTTTTTTTCAAACCACGTGATAACCCTCATTATTATTATTCCAAACCGACCCCACCTCCTCTTTTCTGGGGTAAGAATCCCTTGCAAAGCAACTGACGAAAATCAAATAAATCACCAATAGCAAGAAATCCCTTGCAAGCAAACAACAAAATCAAACCATGTAATTTCATGTACACAAACTCACACATGCCATATCTTACCATATGAATTCTCTCCCCATATCATATCTCAATCTCAACCCAATCAAAATTCTCCTATGCGGAACCACTAAAATAAAGTAGCCCCTGTTGAAACGTATGGGTATTTAGCTAGTGCGGTTAAATAGCTAGGTAACATCTGGAAAGGGCTCAAGGAGAAAGTAGAAGCTGAAATTCCTATTAGGAAATGGGGCTAGTTTCCATTGGTGGGAGGCTTCTCCTGTTGGAGACTTGTCCTTACTTGTACTAACGATTCCATGGGTAATCCTTCCTACTAGTCGCATTTGTGGCATGTTGATCATCCTATACATACGTGTTCCACTTCTTGGCCTTCACTACTCACTGGCCGCATGGTCAGAGGTCACACACTTTAGTAGACAAGTGTTAGAAAAAAATCCAAGGCGCATAGTCAATCTACCGAGAATTAAGCAATCACACGAGGCACTACACCGAAATTTGCTAACGAGGTTCACCATCATGGCTACATCCCCGGGGCTTGACTATTGGCACTCCTACCCATGATACAACCCCACTAACCATGACCGACCACCCATGAGTCCATCAAGATTCATTCTGGACACCTGGGCTATGATACGACTTGTTGCGCAATACAAGGTCCATGGTGACCGATGTGTGTGTGGGATTGTTGGGTTTAGTCCCACATCAGTTCTGGGGGAGGCGGATCATGACTTATACGGGTGTGGATGTCCCTTC